TTTTTAAATTTCAGAAATCAATAACACATTTTCTGTTAATTTTGTGACTTCTGCCTTTGCTCTGTAATTGTTTTCATGTAACTGACTTGTTTTTCTTCCAGGGAGCGCAGTGGTGGCAGTTTGTAGATAAAAGGACAGACTGGCATGGACATGCTGGCGGAGGCCTTCATACAGACCCCAAAAATGTAATGTATCTGTCTGTCTGTCTGAACTCTGCAATTTTATTTTCAAATCTGATTTCTGTCTTGTAGAGGGATGGTGTTCTTATGAAATGTTTAATGTACAATTTGCATCTCTATAAATGATTTTATTTAAGCTTCGTTAAGCACTTTTTACTATGTTAAAGCTGCTGTCTAAATGCAAACAGTTCATGAGATCATTGTTGCAATCAATGATTTTTAAATTCCTAGTTTGCAAAGATGAAACGGGTGTGTCATTTGTGCATTTACACAAAAAGTGTTGAGGGAGGCAGCAAATAAGTGATAAGATTTTATTCTTGAAACTGCTTATTTTGCAAATGAATGCAGCATTTTTTTTTTACGGGGAAGGCTGGCCTAAAAACCTGAATGCAATTCGTGTAAGCACATAGGAGATTGCATATTGTGCACCAGTTTCATGTGAATTTAATTTTCATTCTATATTCCCCACCCTAGTATTACCTGAGCAATTGAAAAATCAGGTGAATTTGGCTTCTGTCAAATTGGATAAGACAACTTAACGTGATGCTTTATGATACACAATTAGTTTTGTTTGATCACACTTTGAGTTCTTCTATCTTGTGTTTCTGATCTTTACAATTGAGTAATTTTCTTCCCTTATTCTGGCCTTTAGAAACTTACCCTTGAGTTTCAGGCTAATGTCTAAGTGATTTTCTTTACTCTGAAATAGAGACATTATGTTTGTAATCTTTCAGCCCCCTGGTGCATCATTTCGATCCAAGGATATTTGAAAGACTGTTTTATTCAGCATTCTGAGTTGAGTTTCACCACATTTTCAGCTGAACTTCCTTATCTATAACTATTTGAAGTAATTGTTTCAGATCCCCCGTGTATCCTCTAATTCACACTAAGACGTGCTTCTGTGGAAACGATGAAAAAGCATTCTCTGCCATTCTTTCATCCTCGATTAGATTCTTTTGTTTCTCAATTATCATATTATCCTTTCTAATGGCTTAACTTTGTGTTAATAGGATCCTGTCCAATTTCCTTTCTGTTCCTTGCCAGTCTATATTCATGTGTCCCTTGGCCTTTCTAATCTTTTGCTTCCCCTTTATATTTTCTATTTTTTTATATAATAGTCCTACAATTCCTTTAATTCGTCACCTCAACATCTTTGTCCCCACCCCAAATCCCATGGATATTTATGTGGCTTTCTTTGAATGCGTTAACTTGACTAGTCTGCCGAGTTAAAACCTTCAGAAATTCTTAGAAGTGACAGATCCAAATAGTTTGTTTTCTAATTGGAAAATGTATATTTGCAGTTATTGAGTCATAATGTTGTACAGCATGGAAACAGATCCTTCAGTCCACCTCCTCTGCGCCAACGAGGTATCCTAAACTGATCTACCGTATATACTTGTGTAAAAGTTGAATTTTTTTAAGACTTTGTTTTTTAAAGTTAAACTTATGGGGTTGTCTATTACTTGGATACTACTTTTGAGGGGATGAAATTCAGCTGCAGTTCAAAGTACCTATCATTAGCAGAAGCCCAATTGATCTCTAAACGAATAAAGAAAAAAAACAACAAATATGGTAATTACCGGATAGAGACAATTGAAATAAAAATGAATCAGTAAGCTTTTATTTATACGTACAAAAAGTGAAGTAGAAATATAACACAGCTTTGAATTTCAATTACATGGTACATCTTAAACTAAACAAGTTAAAATTAATTAAAAACTTAAAATCAGCCTTCATTTTGCCAATTTCTGGTTACAAACGGCTGAAACTGTAATATCTTTTAGTTCAACAGGCAACTTTCGTGCAATCTTAGTTGTCTGCCAAAATACTAAGTCATGTCTTCTCATGAACCTTGTGCACCATCCAGCACTTGCCTTAAAATCCGAAATTCCAACCACCTTTGATTCGTATCATGCATGGATTCAAATGGCTTCACGACTAACGCATTTTCCTTTTCGATGATTTTCAAGTACCCATTCAGCAACTGCTTTCTCCAATTCCGGCTGCTTGCTAGGTTTACCTCTGTTGAAACGCTTCTGTTTTGGCATTGTCTGAAGTTGGTTCAATATGTTTCTACGGTTTCTCTGAAACACAATTCTCTTGCTGCTACACAGTTTTTAGTATTTTGTCTTTTTTGCAACTTCAATAACTTTCAGTTTAAACGCTGCTGTATATTTTTTAACTTTTCTGGAGGGTAGTTTTACACATAATGATGAAATTTCAAAACCTCAACTAGGTAAATGACTATTCCACAAGTGCTACAAGGGAACTGAGCTCGGCTGAGCTGCACGCAAAAGGGAGGTTGTCACCTGACTCCGACCTGATGCGTCTTAAACTTTTGTGCCGAATTGGTGTGAATTGTACATCAAACATGTAATAGCATGAAAAAATAACATTTCCTCATCGTAACATTTATGTACAGGATAATACCTTGACTCTCAAATGTTGATCTGTTATCTTTGAAGACCAAAAGTTGACTTTTACACGAGACATACGGAAAATTGCAGATATTTTTGGCTAAAAATAAGGGAGTCAACTTTATACAAGATCGACTTTTACTTGAGTATAAATGGTAGTTCCATTTGCCAGCGTTTGACCTATACCCTGCTAAAGCCTTTCTTAATCATGTATCATTGAGATGTCTTTTAAATGTTATAACTGTATCTGCCTCCGCTTCCTCTGACAATTCGTTCCATACACGCACCACCCTCTGTGTGAACATGTTGCCCTTCAGGTCCCTTTTAAATCTTTCCCTTCTCACCTTAAACCTATGCCCTCTAGTTTTGGACTCCCCTACCCTGAGAAAAAGGACCTTGGCAATTCACCCTATCCTTGCCCCTCATGATTTTTTATAAATTTCTTTAAGGTCACCCCTCAACCTCTGACGCTCCAGGAGAGAAAACGCCCCAGCCTATTCAGCCTCTCCCTATAGTTCAAACTCTTCAATCCTTAAATCTTTTCTGAACCCTTTCATGTTTAATAACATTTTTCCTATGGCAGGGAAACCAGAATTGAATGCAGCATTCTAACAGTGGCCTCACTCATGTTCTGTACAGCCACAACATGACATCCCAATTCATATACTCCATGCACTGACCAATGAAGGCATGCGGGCCAAACGCCTTCTCCACCACCCTGTTTACCTGCGACTCCACTTTCAAGGAGCTATACACCTACAGTCCTAGGTCTCCTTTGTTCGGTAGCACTCGCCAGAATGGATTTTATGGTCATTGATGGAGCAATAACACTCTTAGCTGTATTTTCACTTTCCCTAAGTAAATTTGAATCTGCTGTCAGTCAAAGGAGGTCTGCAGCTGTCTGGCAGTAGAGACCTCTTCATGGAGGGTAAGCAAGCTATCACTTTGAAGGATTGTCATAACAAACCAAGAAATGATCTCCGTTTTCTCATTTTAAACGAAATTTCAAAGACCGAAATAAACAATTCACATGAACATAGAATTAAAGTAGAAAGTAAAATATCATAAACATTTTTAAAAAATATATTGTATTATATTGGAATTTGTACGTTTTATCATAATGGAGACATTTGATATTCCACAAAGTAGTTCTTCAGGGACAAAGTTTATTCACAAGTCATTCTGAACTGAACACATTATTAAAAATCCAGTTGTTCATCATTCAACAAGATTTTAACCTTTTTGAGAGATTTTGTCACAAATCTAATAGTGAAAAAGTACTTATTCTATCAGATCAGTGATTATCGTGATAACACGATGTGGGACTCCACAGGGCTGTGTGCAGGAATCACTGGCAGCTTCAGGACTTCCAAACTCCCGAATTAGCTATCTTTCGGAGGAGAAATAATAGTACATGTTGACCATTTCAATATTGTTATTGCAAAACCTGTGCCATAGTGTTAGTATTGGTGAAACTTATTTTTAAGTCTTGAGTTCTTAAAATTAGGTAAGTAATTATTTTGCAAATTTGGAGAAATTTGTGATGCATTAGCAAAGCTATGAAGTATTTTTAAGGATTCAAAAGCCCTACAATATTTTGTAATCTTTTGAAACTTTCTTGTAATTAAATTTCCTTGAAAAATTATGACTAGAAATAATTTTAAGCATCCTTCTCCATTTCTAACTGTAAATGCAATAATTTGCTGGAAGACTTGTGCACCCAGTTATTAGCTAAATACATAGTGGTCTAACTTATAACACAAAGGTGACTCAGCACCTGCTGTGTCTGTTAAACAACATCATTTGCATTGTCAACTCAGTAACCATTAGAAACCCCAAACGCTCATGATGTTGTTAGCATGCTTTTTATAAAAATTCAAGTTTGAAATTGTACTAATTTGTAAAATTATCTTTCAGCTGAAAGATGTTGATACAGGAAAAATTCTTAAGGCTATGTTGACGTATGTTTGGCCAAAGGATAGACCTGATCTACGTGCCAGAGTGGCTGTATCTCTTGGTCTGTTAGGTGGGGCAAAGGTCAGTAAGTTGTTCATATTTCAATATGTTGTGTTTGTAACTTTAAATTTGCGGTTTTCTTGAGCATTTTATTGTGCCTTCCAATTTTTTTTTAAATTTAAAAAGGTTAAGTATAGTATCAAACTAAAAGAAAAGGGGTGGATAACATTTACAGAGAGGTGGTCACTGTGCAGGCTAAGATTCCACAGGCAAGAGGGAATGGATGACCACCAAGCAGTGAAACTGGCAATACAGGAATATCCTGTGGCTATTCTCCTGGGGGGAAAAAAAAGCAGAAATAATCTTCTGGATACTGTTGGTGGAGGGGGGAGGAGTAGCAGGAGACAAATTTGTTGCTTCATGGTAGCGTCTGCTGCAAGCCAGAGGAGGAATAATTGTGAGAAGGCTATAGTAAGAGGTTTAATTGTAAGGGAAATAGATCATTTGCAGCCACAGAAACGATACTCCAGGGTTGTATGTTCCTTCCTGGGTGGTAGAGTCAAGGATGTCTTCGAGACGCTACAGAACATTGTGGAGTGCAAGGATGAAAAGCCAACAGTCACTGTACACGTCGGTACCAATGGCATAGGTTGAAAAAAGGGTGAGGCCCTAAAAGCAGAAAACAGGGAGTTAAGCATGTTTAAAAAGTAGGACATTGAAGATAGTGATCTCAAGGTTGCTGCCAATCCCACATGCTAGTCAGAAAAAATAGCATGTCAGCTTAATGTGTGGCTGGAAATATGGATGTTTCATCTTGTGGGAAAATCGAGAACTAGTTGCCCATTTAAAATAAATTAGGAAAATGTTTTTCTGAGAATCATGAGTCTTTCGAAGTGTCTCCATAAAATGGTGGTTGAAGCAGAGTCTGACTATTTTTATGGTCAGAGATTCATAGATTCTTGTTAAGCAAGAGATTGAAAGATTATTGGGGGTAAAGTATGATGGGGATTTTTTTTGGTTACAGTCAGATCAGCCATGATTTAATTGAACGGAAGAGTAGACTTGAGGGGTCGATTGGACCTACTCCTGCTTCTGATTCACATGTTGTAGGTAAATGTACCTTCCTTGTGACTCTACACATTTCTCAATTTTTTTTACTAATGTAATTTTATACTTAGGTAATCCTGTCTAGAAAGAAGCTTGACCTGGTGTTTATGCTGATTTCTGTTGAGGGAATTTAATCTCAATGTTAGTGAGGAAACCATAATTAGACTTGTTTTGCACAAAGTTATTTAATGAAGTGGTTATAAATCACAACTCCAAATGATCTATTTCTGCAGTTAAGAAAATAATGTTCATGATCTTTAAGTATTTACATTTGATCAACTTTGTAATATAATAATGTAGTGAATGTGATATTTGAGTGAAGGACTCTAAATTAAAATAGTTAAAAATGGAAAAAATAATAATTTAAGAAGTGAAAACTAAAAGAAAGTGAGCGATTTAAATTGTAATAACTTTGGTCAGAAGAACCACCCAAGGCCAAGTAATTGTTTCTTCTCTGTTCTCGTACAAAAGCTTTTGCTTCAATCTTTCTTAAATTTCCTTTTTAGCCAGTTGATCATGATATGTATTCTGTAACATATACAAGCAACTGTTGCACACGACAACAAGTCATCAGTAAAAGTTCTGTAAGAAAAGAAATTGTTGAGATATGCTAGCTAGCACAGAGGAAGATACAGTTCATGTTGCTGATTTTCTCCATCACAACTCCATTCTCCCTCACTTCCCAAAGTTAGTAATGGAGTTTAGTGTGGTCAGTGAATTTTGTGGTTTCACCAAACTAAAACAGACTTTCTAGCAACTAATTAAATGTGTTGTATTAGCATCCATTTTGTTAAATCTTAGCTTAGGCACCTTAAACTCAGGAAATAGTTTGTGGAGGCTGAAAATGAGAGAGAAGGTAAAAAACAGCTACAGTTCATAACTTGCCACAAAGCTAAGGTATACAAATGATTTACAGATGACTAGCCTAAGACTATCTTTTATACATCACAGAGAAGCCAGGGAATGGAACGAGGTAATTTGCTCCTTCAGCGAACCAGTGCCAGGACGACAGGCAGAATGCCTCCTCACTGTACTCTGCTGTGACTGTTGAGAGAAATATTGTGTAATTTGTCAGCATCATAAAGAGAGATGAATATTCCAGATATGATAGCGTGATGATAATGTAACTTGACTGGTAATCCAGAGGCCCAGGCTAATGCTGAAAGACCCATAGGTTCGAATCTAACCATGGCAGCAATTAGAACTTAAATCTGATTAATGCATCTGGAATATAAAACTAGTCTCAGTAATGGCAATTATGAACTTATCATCAGATCGTTGGAAAAAAATTTCTGGAAATAATAAGTTTGTTATTCTAACTCAATCTGGCCTGTGATCCCGGACTTCTAGCAATGTGCGTGACTCTTGACTGCCCACTGAAATGGCCAAGCAAGCCACTCAGTGCAAGTGTGATTGTGGATGGGCAACAAATGCTGGCCTTGCTAATGACACTCCTATTCCGTGAAAGAAAATAATGGGGGAAAAAAATGTCTCTCTCTTTACTCTAACCATTACACTATTTACACAATATTTATCTCTTTCAGGATCTGGTTACTCTGCCAACATATGCCTGTATTTTCTTTAATTTGCTGTGAACTTTGTATGTCTTGGAGCTTGAAGTCTCCAAATGCAAGTTGTCTCTTTTTTGCCCTTTTTTGGCCAGGTCCTGGTGTGCGTCGGAAGCTAGAGGGATCAGAGTTATTTTCTTGTTGGGGTTAAGATACTGAGGGAGAGGGAGAGTAACTTTTAACCTTAATGTTAACATTCAACAAGATAGTGTCAAATATCTAATTATTAGCAGATAGCTAGTGTATTAAATTTATCAAGTTTGTCCTGTTCAAAATAGGAATTGTAATTAAATGTGCAATCTGTTCAATTATTGCTTGAAACCTCTTCCTTTGCATGCTTTCTTGAAAAAACACTTTTTTCCTCATTAAAGATTCCTTCCAAAATTATACTGATATTTTGTTTGCAGTTTTCAAATGTAATTATGAAACTAACTACATACCCTGTGCTCTGAAGTCATAGCTTTATTCATTTGGGAATGTAATTTACATAGTATTCACATGACTGCATTGCCCCTAAGCAATTTGATCTTCTATCCTCATGGAATAAACCACATTATGCAGTATACAATGGCATTCTCTGTTCTACATAAATATAAAATTTTCTCTAAGATCTATGCTTCCCTTCATTTTAAGTGATGACTTGATGTGCAGTTTTGGAGTATGTTTGCAATGTTTTCATGATTGTGTGTTTTGTTTTTGACTATCTAAATTTAAATACTCTTCCATTAAAAATGTATTACATGATTTTAGCATGTGACTAATTTTTCATCTGTTTCTATGGAACCTGGCTCTCGTGTATATTGTGTGTATCTAGCACAGTAGGCTTTTGAGTCTGTTAATTGATCCACTAAACAAGTTGTCTACTCTAGAACTCACTGCCGAATGTTAAATATCATCATTGGATCAGTCAACCAAAAATCCAAAGTGGCCTAGTGGTTTCATGACATTCTTTGTTATTTTATGCCGGTGGTGGTCTTTTATGTATTCTACAGGTTATTTGTGGTTTTACCATTAACAAACTTGCTATTGGACATCATTCCACCGCGCATTCAACCACAAGAACCTTGTATTTACCTAACACCTTTAACATCGCAAAAGGCACTGGTGCTTCGTGAAAGTGTTCTTGATACAATTTTTGGTGCTAGTTTGCGAGGAAATATTAAAGCAGGTTAAGATTAGAAAGATAATGCTAAAGAGCACGTTAGAGGCAGAGAAGATCAGGTAGGAAATTCCGAGCTTTGAGTTTTGAAGGCCTGAATGCAAATGGTAGATTGATTTAAAGTTGGTAATGCTCAGTGGACCATTAAAAGAGTGCAAATATCACTGAAGATTGTAGACCTGGAGCATATTAGAGATTGCATGGGGCAAGGCCATTCACTGATTTGAAAATAAATTACAAATCAAGGTATTGATTAATCCAGGAGTCAGCATAGGTCAGTGAGCACATAATTGATTAGTGAATGCAATTGAATGTAAATAAGAAAATGGGCAGCGGAGGTTTCGATGACCTCTGTTTTATAATGCATACAATATGGGAGGCCACCTATGTGCAGTGCAGTAAGAACAGTTCAATCAAGAGTCATAAGGTATTGATAAAATTTGGGTTCTGAACTATTATTACATGGCTGCATTTAATAACTGAATCGAATCCTTTAGAATACGGAGATAGTAGGAACTGCAGATGCGGGAGAATCTGAGATTACAAGGTGTAGAACTGGATGAACACAGCAGGC